AATCTATGTTAGCGATAAGAAACTGAATGAGTTTTTTCCTGAGCTCGGGACTTAACTCCGTGCCCAGGTATATCTTCTGGTCGGATAGATGCTCGATCAATATGACCTGTTCCAGCTCATCGACCGTCGATTTAGTGGTGTTGGAATCATCGAGGACTATAAAAGACATATGAACCCCATAATCATCGTCTTCATCAGTCCTCTATTTCTCCGATTGGGTCGGGGCTGGTGTCGATAATTGCTATTTAGCTTCTTGCTTTGAGACCGAATTATCAGCCCCTTTGTCGTTGCAAGTGTGGATATCGGAATCGCCTCTTTGACCGCAAATATCTCCTTTACGACTAGCTGTTCTTTGTAGATTGTTTTAATCCCACCTAGTGTTGGGAATTTTAACACTTGGTGTAGAGTCGAGGGCACTACTCTCATGTTGTGGATCCATGGCCTCCTGAACAAAGCGTTGTACCTCATGTCTCCTTCGATCACATAAAACTTAGCTTTCTGGATGGTCCCGACGATGTTCACTAGTAATGTTATCTCCCCCTTAGTGGTTTCACATGCCATGTTGAATCCGTTTAGGACCCGGACTGCATGCACGATTTGATCTTGTAGACCGAGCTGCTCTACGACCTTCGATCAGATGATATTGACCGATCTACCTGGATCAATTAACACACGCTTATCTCGAGATTTATTTATAAGTACAGATATTACCAGTGCATCATTGTGTGGCTTGATAAGTAGGGATTCTGACTGTTTATTTGCTATCTTTTACTTGCATTTTAGCTCAAAAATGCTTAAAGGTATTCCCTAAAACTAATGAAATATGCTTTCTTGCAGGAATATTGGGAAACATGCCAAAAAAGTGAAAATCAACTCAAAAAGGAGTAAAATTAGACAAGAACCAAAACAAGGCAAAAAGGGCCACACTGCGGACCACACAATACTGTGTGCGGCCGCAAACTCTGAAGATGCACTGATGTAATTCCTTCACAGAGTGTGGACCGCACAATTATTGTGCGGCCGCAGAAGACTAGATTCAGAGACTTGTAGTTTGGGAGCTTAAAGATGTGCGGACAGCATCATTATTGTGCGGCCGTAGGATGCCAAAATACGACCGCACTCATAAATGTACGGTCCGCAGAATGAAGTCCATATCCAGTCCAAGAGCAAGAGTGCGGCCGTACTCAGAAATGTGCGGTCCGTATAATTAGAGGAAGTGCAGCCGCATCTCACTTTTATGTGACCGCATAAAGCCAACATGACTAGTCAATCTCAAAGTACGGACCGCACACATAATTATGTGGCCGCACAACATTCACAGGGCAATTTTGTTAGATATTTTTAACTGGGTATAAATAGATCTTTTTATCATTTTTAGGTTAAGTTTGGTGCACCTGAACACTTAGAGCCGTTTTTATTTACTGTATTGGGTAACTTTGTACTAGTTTAGCATTTAAACATCAGATTTTCTTTCCTTAATCAATTATTATGCATTTTATCTTAGTTTCTTCTTTAATTTTTTCATTTTCCATGAGTAGCTAAACCCTAGCTAGGGTTGTGACCCAAAACTAGTATGGGTACTTAATGGATGCTTGATTTAGGGCTTATTTATGATTGAGTATATGATATTTAGCCTAGTTCTTTCTTGAATTTGAGAATTGATGGTTGCAAATGTTGATTCATGTCTAATTGACTTAGTCTTTATTTGAGAAAATAAGACTAAGTCTAGGAAAACTTAGCTAACAAGAATTTGGGGTGAACTCAAGAAATTGACAGCCCTAATGAAAGGGTCAAATCTAGAGATAATAAGACTCGACTTGAGCATTTATCACTTGTTTCGTGGGATACCCATTTGGACTTGAGAAAGCCAAATTGGGCAAAATCAAACTACTGAGAGGTATAGAGTGAGTAATTGAGTATGATTGCTATATTGTATCCCGATCAACCAAATATGTCCTAAAGCTCTAAATCTGTTAGGTAACTAACTAGGGAAAAGTCGTAACCCTAGATCTTTTATAACTTAAAAAATAACCAAAACCAAAAACATTGTCTCTTACCGTTACAATTGCAAGCATTAGCGTAAAAGTAGAAGTAGAAACAACTATTGAAAATGTGGAAGTATAATCTTAGGCACGTCGTACATTTACACTAGGTATATACCTAATACCACATCAAGCTCCCTGTGGAATCGACCCGACTGGCATTGGCTTTTTATTATTGCATCGGCCGCCTCGCAACCTAAATTAGTGGTGTGAGTTTGGGCGACATCATGGTTGCACGATCCCTTCCGTGTCCTCGTCGTTAAAAGACAATGTTCCTTATGGTATGTAGTCTCGAGTCCATTTTTCCTCGTGATGGATACTTTGGTGCGTTTCAACATCGACCCCCGAGGGACATCGACCCCACCAATGATCATGTTAATGACGTGTTTAGGTTCTTCTTGTTTGGTCTGTTTGTTAGAATCCCTATTCCTGAAATGATTCTTGGCTCGGTCGCTCAGGAATTCGCGAAGATGCCCGTTGTTGAATAATCAGGCTACTTCCTTTCTCAATTGTCGACAATACTCTGTTCTGTGGCTGTGAGTGCCGTGATATTTACACATCTGGTTAGGCTCCATTTGGGTTGGATCAGATTGTTGAGGTTGAGGCCATTTGGTGTCTTTGATGCGTCCGATGACAGATACAATAGTGGTGGCATCGACGTTACAATTGTACTCCGATAATCTCGGTGCTTCTTTAGACCCAACGGGCCTGTCAAAGCTATTTTTGCTCATGAGTCCCCGGTTGCTCTGACCTTGATCACTTCTCCTTTCATTTTTCATAGAGCTCCGCCCAGACCCATTGCTTCTCCGGTCCTCATTGTACGACTGATATCGATCCCTGTTTGATCTCGATTCACGATCGATGTCTCTCTTGACTCTGTCAATGGTTCTGACGGGATACACGGACCTGGAAGGGCCCCCAAGTTGATCATCTTCGACCCTAATTTTCGATTGATATCGGTTATGGGCATCGACCCAAGTGACATCCAGATATTCTACCAAGTTTTGTTTCAACTGTTGTGAAGCCAGACGAGCTCAGAACGTTGAGTCTTTGGGTAAAAGCCTGAACGACCCAATCATCAGTGACCGGTGGTAGGTCATCCGTTCCATTTGAAATCGGGACACGAACTCTCTGAGCATCTCATTATCCCTCTGCTTTACTTTGAAAAGGTCCGATTTCATGGTCTAGGCCTTGATAGCCCCAACTTGTGCTTTCACGAAAGAATTTGCAAGCATAGCAAATGAATCAATAGAATTAGGAGGTAAGTTGTGGTACACTATCATAACTCCCTTTGACAGGGTTTCTCCAATCTTCTTCAACAAGACAGACTCGATCTCATCATCCTCCAAGTCATTCCCTTTGATGCCACACGTGTAGGAGGTTACATGCTCGTTTGGATCGGTCGTTCCATTGTACTTAGGAATCTCGGGCATGCGAAACTTCTTGGGGATTGGCTTTGGAGTCGCGCACGGAGGAAAAGGTTTCTGCACGAACTTCTTGGAATCCAGGCCTTTCAATATCGGCGGTGCTCCTAGGATTTGGTCGACCCTGGAATTGTAGGTTTCCATATTTTTGTCATTAGCTTCGATTTTCTTCTCCCCTGATTCTACCCGTTTGGTCAGTTCCTCGAGCATCTTTATGATCTCGGGGTTAGTCTCCGATTCATTTTCATTCGACCTCTCTACGACCGATTCATCCCTGCGGGTGACTTCTCCGGACGGATCGGGTTCAATTCTACTCGGTGCGCGACTTTGGTTATGTAACTGAGTTATCGCTGCCTGTTGAACCTGCAACATTTCAAAGATCACACGTAGACTGATCCTGTCTCACCAATATTTTGTGTATTTTGAGCTGCCGATTGGGTTCCACCACGGGTGCTATTCTCGGGGTCGGTAGGCAGGTTTTGTGTTGATAGCCACATGTGAATTAGCGTCAATTGGGTCTGCGACCGGAATTTCGATGGGATCAACGAGTGATACCTCGTCACCGGACGCTATGTTGTTTTCACCGTGATGACCGGACTCATTGTCAACATGTAGGGGTGATGATTGAGAGTTCGACATTTTGAGTTTTAACCCGAAATGAGAGACACTTCAAAGAACATGTGTAAAGTAGTATGTGTTATGGATAACAATTGAATTTGTAAGTGATTTTAAGGATACATGAATTAATTTGACACAAAACGATAAATTAGATTGCAATTGAAATAAATAATGATAAAGTAAATGCAAACCACACGAATTGAATAATCCCGGACTTGGAAGGTTAATCACCTTTGAGCCGGACGTACTTCGATTGGTATCAAGATAGAGAAGAATAAGAGATTAAAGAGAATAATAATGTATTGCTTTGGAATGCGTGTTACAATGTCTTTTACAAGTAACTAGACCCCCTTTATATAGTAGGGGAGTCCTACATTAGTTACAACTCTATAAAAGGTAAAAAATCTCTTGATTTGCTAATTGCCGGTTCCTTATTGATACGTGCCGAGATTCCCGCCGCAATATCCGACCGGTCACCGATATTTCGGTCTTTTGTTACGCTAACAATATTTCTTCGAGGTCGTTTGAACCAGGACCGATTCCGGAGTCACGGTCTTGATGTTATCGAAGGCAGGTGTTTGGTCCTGATTACTAACCCGGTAGGACTTGCGGCCTATCTTTAGTCCTTTATTGCCATGTCTCGAGTCCGGCCTATCATATCGGATGCTAGGGTATACTACAAGCTCGATTTTACTCGTATACAAAGTTACATGATTGTTTTTTAAATTTGCCTAGAGTTTGACGGGCAAAATACAAACATTAATTGTTCTATCTGTAGTCACTTTGACATGTATACATTTTCCCGAATTTTAAGCGAGTAAAGTCAAATTTAACCTTATTGTTGAAAAGAAGTTACAGTAGAAACAAAATGACAGATGTATTTCTTAAGTAAATAAAAACGTAGTAATGTTTGAGTTGAAGAAGAAGATTACTTATCCCCGTAAAGTGCGACCAGAAAGCTACTGTCAGTCACATTATTCAAATGCTCGACTCGTTCAACGCTTCCCACTCTCCAATGGCCGAAAACGCAGTCTCATCCAACTTCCCGTATTCCGTCAACGTTAACGGCGATTTCCCCAATGATTGTTTACCGCCGGATCCGCTGTTACAGTCCGGCACCTACATCCACGCCGATTCAAACGCAACCGTTGAGACCACACCGGAGAGGAGCCTACTAGATGAACCGCACGTGTCCGATCCAATGCCGGCGGCGCCGGCGATGGAAAGTACGGCGGAGATTCAAACGGTGTCGCCCGAGCTGGTAACGCCTAAGCGGCGGCAGAATAAATCGGTGGAGGTCACGTCGGAGAGGCCGAGCTGGTTGCCTGAGAATTGGAAGATTGAAATGAGAGTTCGGACCTCTGGCGCTACGGCTGGATCTACTGATAGAGTAATTCCCCCTCTCTTATTTTATATATATATATAGCAGCTCTCATGTTATGGATTTAACAAAGCAAATCTAGATTTTTACTTCATTCTGCTACGGAGTTTGAATTAGAATTTATTTCAGAACTCAAAGCATTAAGATTTTTTTGTTGTTGCAATATTCAGTAGAAGCAGAGAGACTGATGTGTTTTGATTATGTTCAAATGATAAGTTGTTACTATTTCACAAGTTTGTCCATAGGTTTTGTGGAAATTATTGTGTTTTCATTTTTATCATAGTGCATCTACTTCTCTGTTTTCTTTAGATATGGTTTACTCTCTGTCATTATTGGTTAGTGAATTCGTGTGTTTTATTGATGTATTGTTGTGATTAATCTGCCACAAGGTTTATTTGAGTGATACTGTCGTGTTAGAGCTTGCAGATTATTGAGAAATGGAGATTACTAATGGATTATACTAGCAAGAACCAATGGATTAGTTGCAAATTAGCAACAACTAGAGGGAAAATTGAATTGCTTGGTAATTCCCCCCTTGCTATTTGGAAAAGTTTAATACCAGATTTTGGATAATGATAGGCATCATACTGTGCCCTTGGTGAAATCGCACGTTTAACATGGTTTTATAGGGAAAAGATAGTATACATATTTTTCCTTTGGATTCAAATTTATGATTAGGTACTCCAACAGAGATATCTTTGCAAAACTGAAAGTATTCAAGTGGAAACGCGTATTATATAACATGAAACACCCCTAGCTCTCCTTCACTAAATTTGCACTTTGTGGTGTATTTCAAGCTTTTGACTGGAATTGTGATGGTCAAAATTGGGATTTCATCCCTATGCGAACATTTAGTCTCCAATCAAAGCTCTTTTTAGGAAGGGTGATCAATTGATTTTATTCGTTGAACTTTGCGGCAGTGAGATTGCTAGTGTTTTCTGTTGAAGCGGGAAAACATATTTCTTTCAGAGTTTTTGGACTTTGATTAGTTGAATATAACTGTGGTGATGAGATGATTTTTCCATTGAAGGTGAGTGACTCTTTGCTTGCTTTTCAGACTCTTCTATGTGGACTATCTCTAGCTCCTTTCTAGGTCAAGTGATTTACTTGAGGAAAGGAAAAACTTCTTCTTGACAAGTGCAACTTGTTATGACGGTAGCATTTTAGGTTTAGAGGACCTTATAATGAGATTAATATTTTCATATATACTAATTAAAAACAATGAGATTTTATTTTCCTATGAAAAAAATACTTGTTTTCAAGTGGAAAGGGCAAGTAGAAATAGATTGTTGTGCACACGCTTTAAGCTAAACTTGTTGGTCTTTTAGTTTTCACATTTATTACTTGATTTCCGGAAGAGAAGTGTGAACTTGAGGTCATTGATATGCTTTTGTGAGGGCCAAATACATAAGCAGCCCCTTAAACTTGTCAAGATATTCCATTTAGACAATTAAACTAAAGACATAACCTATTGGACACTTAATGTAGGTAAGAAGTGTGTCTATTAAGTATACACTGCTGACATGGACAATGCGTGTTTGTCACCAGAACTTTGGGCGTGTGAATGATTGAAAATTTAAATATAACAACAACAACAACAACAAATCCAGTATAATCCCACATCTGGAGTCTGCGGAAGGTAGTGTGCACGCATACCTTACCCCTCAGCTCAAGAAAAGGTGGCAAGGAAGAAAAGGGAAGAAGTAGATGAAAGAGGGGAAGAAAGAAAGACGGGGAGGAGGGAGACAAAAGACAATAAGGAAAATGGGGAGAAAAAATAGCATCAAATAGTAACAACTTGGGAGCAATAATTTCCAGTAAAAGGGGAGAAAAAGTAGTATCAAATAGTAACAGTTAGGGAGCAACAATTTCCAGTAGCAGTTTTCAAACAAACAACAATGGACGTGGTAGCTAAATACCAGATGCACTAACAATCTAAAAGAAAGTATCTCTCAACCAACAATCAGGGTACTACTAGTACTACTGGTAAACCTAGGAGGAAGTCACAACTACCTGTCAACCCACCACCTTAATCCTCGACTTCCGTACCTTCCTATTTTTAGTCATGTCCTCGGTTAGGTGAAGCACCGACATGTCCTGCCTAATCACCTCTTCCCAATATTTCTTTGGCCTACCCCTGCCTTTCCTCAAGCCCGCCATGTTTAACCTTTCACACCTCCTGACCGGGGCATCTATGTCTCTCCTCTTCACATGCCCAAACCATCGCAGTCTCGATTCCCGCAACTTGTCTTCCACAGATGCCACTCTCACCTTGTCCCTAATAACTTCATTCCTAATCTTGTCTTTCTTGGTATGTCCACACATCCATCTCAACATCCTCATTTCAGCTAAGCTCATCTTCTGGACATGTGACTTCTTGACGGGCCAACACTCAGCCCCATACAACATAGCCGGTCTAACCACCACCCTGTAGAACTTACCCTTAAGTCTAGGCGGCGCATTCTTGTCGCATAAAACCCCCGAAGCTAGCCTCCATCTCATCCAACCCACTCCAATGTGGTGAGTAACATCCTCGTCAATCTCCCCGTCGCCTTAGATTATAGACCCAAGATACTTGAAACTATCTCTTTTGGGAATGACTTGAGGATCAATCTTTACTAATGATTGAAAATTTAAATATCTCTGACAAATCACCCTGAACTTCCCCAGCCCCTCTTCCATCCCTTAGCGATGGTTGTATTCATTCACGCCGGAGCTTCAAACAAAAGCAAATGTTTATCTCCAAAGAAAATCTGAAAAACCTAAAGGGGAGAGCCAAAAAAAAGTAAAGAAAAAGTGGTTTTGCCTTAACCCAGTAGTGGCAAAATTCATTTTTCCCAGCAACAAAAAGGAAAGGTGCATTTTTAACCTTCACTGACTCCTCTGCATTCATATCCATTCTAAGAAGGAAAGAAGAGTACTGTTGCTACATAAATGTAAAGACACCATTAATGGGGTCATACAACATTCATGATTCATGAGGTGGAAAACAGGTGGTTAGTCACAAAAACGCTGATCTAGTCGACTAGAATTGGAGCTGAGCTTCAAAGCCAGTTGCTACAGTTGGGTTTACACTGACTTGCTAAATCTTTCTTCTTTAACCATCACAGATCAAAAACTTCCCATAAAATCAATGCTTTGAAAAACAGAGAGTCAATGCAAAGAAGAGTGAAAGTTAAAGCCCCGTATTAGTTGCGATAAATATAAGGAAGAGAGGGGGGTTGAAGGGCGGCGAAGATGGAGGTATTCTGGTATTGTCGGGGAATTAAGTGGTGGAGGTGAAGACTCCGCAAGAAGACTTTTTTTCTTCCGGCATGTCTCTTTTTTGCTTTTTGTGTGTGCTGATTTGTCCTATTTTCATTTGTAACATGCCATGTCAACCCCAAATGAATCTCACGCGTTTAAGTTTTTTGGTTAGCTATGAGTTTAGTGTTTAATAGACACACTTTTCACATACATTAACCTTAGTTTAGGTGTCTAAATAGAATATCTTGACAAGTTCAAGGGAGATTGCATGGTTTGTACTAAATTGTACTCCCTTTGGCCAACATTTAGTTTAACTGCATATGGAGGCTAACCAAACAAATATTAGAGTGGAGATGATAGATACAGTACAAGGATAAATATTGAATGGTGGCTGGAATCTGACAAAGATATAGATGTCTTATCAAGTGAAAAATATTGAAAAGCTATTTGATTTTTTTGTGATATGGCAACAACAAATTCCCACAAGTGGGATCTGGGGAGGGTAAGATGTACGCAGCCTTACCCCTACTCTGGGTGGGCAGAGGGGCTATTTTTGATAGACCCTCAGCTAAAGAAAATGTGAAAAGAAGCAGTGCCAACAAGTAGTAATAACAACAAGATAATAAGAATGCCAAAGACTAGACAGCAATTAACAGTATGTAGTAATAGCAATGTAGGAATAAATGATATCATTCTAACATTAATGCTATCGAATTGAGGAAGACAAATGGAAACGCTCGACTACCTACTAACCTTCTACCGTAATCCTCGACCTCCACACTCTCCTCAGTAAGCTCCATCGGTGCTTTTTTGTGATATGGCGAGATACTATAAGTTGTTGTAACAGTAAGACTTGAGATTTACGTCTATGGTTGAGAAACTGTTTCTTTGAGTTTCTGCAAAAAAAAAAAAGGTTCTTGGCGTTTGGTTGAAAAACAGTTTTTGCAAAAAACTTTCCATGTTCTAGTGTCATTTTCGTGGTAAGTCAGAGACGAGAGGTCAAGAGGGTATGATATTTTGCTGACCATCTAGTATGAAACTTTTTCTTAGCCTCTTCCACCAAAACTAAAAACTACGGAGTACTAACAAACTCCAGGGAACCACGAATAAGTTTTCGATATCTTTAATAGTTCTTATCTTATTAGAAAACAATAGATATCCTTAATAACTCCTATGTCATTTCCTGCTTTTCACCCCAATCAATGGACCAGTTGAACTCTTTTATGTAGCCTCTCTAGTCTGATCCCTTGGTTTTTTTCTCGAGTGAATCATGAAGCATCTATCTAAGCAAATAGTGTCTTCATAATCATAACTAAAACTCTTTTCATGAATCATGATCATAACTAACTAATCTGTTAAGTTTTTTATTCTTAAACAAACTTCTCATTTGTTTAATCTGTCTGATGTAAGAGATCCTTCCTATAACTCCAGTACGGTACCTGTGCATTTAGATAAAGCATGAAACTTTTGTGCTCAACCCATAATGAGAATGAAATGGAGGTAGAGTAGTCCAAAAGTTCAATTTGATGACCTGGTGTGCTCTAGAAACAAGAGCAAAAGATGATATTGTGTTTATTGAAAGGCAATCACAGAGACCTTTTGGAAGTATAGGAGGCAATGAATGTGAGGTGTGTAATTGTCCATCTCCCCTTAATGGGCAGTGTTATCCAAATACCTATACTAGTGAGAGGATGCAAGTACCCCGGGAACAGTCGATGTGTGGCCAAGTTATCCTAGACACCACCGTTACTCCAAAAAGAAATTGAATCTTCCATCTCTTAATGGCTGTATGATGTTGCTCGCATCAAGGAAATAATTGCTTGCTTGGGTAGCTTGTGTGGACAGAACCTCTTCTGCTCTCTCCTCTCTCACTTTGCTCTTCTTTGTAATCTCCTGTGATTTGTCCCTTCATGTTTTGTTGTTTCAGTTTCTTTATTTGTGAGAGCGTTGTATTTCTTTTTTCACTTCCAGTTGCAGGCGGTGGAAAATTATTGAGTTGGTTTAGTTGAAAATACTACTGCGTCATGTGCTTTCAATTTGCCTTCTTATTATTTAATTGAAGTCGCTGACATAGAAACTGAATTGCATAGCATTTGGCCTGTGTGTCTAATTGTTTGTGCCCTGGATTGCGCAGTACTTTTTTGAACCAGTGTCGGGGCGTAAATTCCGGTCAAAAGTTGAGGTGCTTTATTTCCTGGAAACAGGTGGCAAGCGCAAGAAGGGAAACACTGGCAATGAAGCTACAGTGAGTGAATCAAAACATTAATGACGTACCACTCTTCCATTTGCCAGAAAGAAACTTACATCTTCATTTGTGTTTTGATGGTACAATTTTTTTTTCCAGCCATCTGAAACCTCTAAGAGCCAAAAACAGAAGAAGGGTGGCTCAAAAACACAGAAAATTACCTCTTTTTACTTCGATTCTGGGAATCCACCACATAGTGTATGCTGGGTTCAGACGGATGGTTTTGCAGATACCTGGGCACCTTCTTGTAACGGTGGCATGATTCCTGAACGCAGAAGACAAGAATGGGATGCTGTCTTCTCAAGTGTATCCCAGCTACGGCGAAGAAATGTGTAAATTTTTTGTTAGGGATATAGGAGGCTCTAACTTGCACTAACCAGTTCACACGCTTTCTCCATATGTCTATCGTGTGTCAAATCTCATCTGAATTGGCCTTACTTCTTGGGTTTTAGTGCAGAGACTGCATAGTTCATACCTTTTTGTTTGCCAAAGGAGTAGGCAAAAGTTGCTCACCTAAATTATGTTCAAGATGTAGTATGGTATGTTCTTGGTCCCTCGATTGCTTAGTTAAACTCTTATTTATTTTGAAATTAGTTTCAAGACCTGCTTTATGAGCCTGTAGATTTTGAGCATTTAGCTAGGACTAGGATATATATTTGAGAAAATTGTAAGGAGAGTACGAAAATACTGGCTATTGAGTACGAGAGAGGGCTAAATGCTTGTGAAGTTGCAAGTGTGGTGAGTTAAAAGGATTACAAATGACATTATCTGCATAGGTGAGCGGATTACTCACCGAGGTTGGGTTATTTATCTTTTAAATGAAATTTTCATTTAATTCAATTTCTGTTACTGCAATTAATCCTCAGCTAGGAGTAATTGATGTGTACTTTTGGTCCTGTGTTGGAGAAAAATGATGATTTTTTATCATTCATTAAACACCTTCATTATCAACTATCACCAACCATTTCAATCAACAGCTTTTATTGCACAACCATCACTATGAAACAACACCACCAATCCTCACCATGGCAAACCAACACCGTCAGCTATTATTTCTAGTTGCAATAACGCAGCACCGGACAAGCATCATTGCCAGCCACTCATACCAATCACAACACCTAAAATAAACTTTTTCTATGATATTTTGTGATTGAAATATTTAACTATTGACTTTATATTTATTAATTTCAATAATAATAAATTATAAACTTAACTATTTAGTATTCGAATTTAAAATGATACTTTAATAATTGTAATATATTTAAAGTTAAATATTTTTATTTTAAAAAGAACAAATTAAACTTGAAGGGGATCCAACAATTATTTTCCTCAGGTGTAAAAAAGAGTGAGCATTATTATCTTTTAAAATAGGAAGAATATGGATTATAAAGCTCCAAATCAACATAAATACAGGAAAAGATGTGACACAACATCTTTTTGAATAAGATAAGAGGGGGAAAAAAAAAAAGAAAAAGGGGAAAGGTAAAAGCTTTATTAGCACACACATCTCTAGCCTCTAGCTGGTCTCTAGGTAAGATTTTTCCTGAATATCCTCCAAATTTATCTTGTTTCTTTTTTACCTTAAAAAAGAAAAAAAGTAGGCACGTGGACCCCCATGTCATCAACAAATGCAACTCTCTAAATACGTAGTTACGTACCAATATATATATCAAAGACAAGTACATGTTGAATTCCCACGTGAATCTAACGTGGCCACTACAAAAGAAAAAGCAGCTGACTCACTTCTGTTTTCTTCTTTTCCTCAAAAGTAACCGAAAGTAGAAATCTTCCCACAGGTTAAATTTTCCCATTGATTCTCTTATTCTTCTTCAAAGATCCCTCACACCCTTTTTACTATTCATACTTGTAAACCTTTTTTTAACTAGACGAGAGAAAAGGGTAAATTAAGAAGTTGGAGAAGAAGGTGGTTTGGTTATTTGTGTAATGGAAGATGGGGATGTATCAGGTTCTACAGATGAGAATAAAGCCAGAAAAATAGTACAAAGAAGTGAAAATATTAATGGCAATGACAAGAATGTGGGGATTTCAGTAGCTACAGCTTCTACTATGTTTCCAGGTTTTCGGTTTTGTCCAACGGATGAAGAGCTGATATCGTATTACCTGAAGAAGAAACTTGAAGGGTCTGATAAATGTGTTGAAGTTATTTCTGAAGTTGAGATTTGGAAACATGAACCTTGGGATCTCCCAGGTACCCCCTTTATTCTTTTTTCTTTTCTCGCACAGTGTTAATTAGTTATTTTAAAATTTAAATGGCAACTTTTTGTTCTTTATTTTTTGATTTATTGGAAGATATTTACAATTTTTACCTGGTGGTAAACTTGACACCAGAATATAGTCGTAGACTTTATCCTTACTAGAAGAGGTGATAACCACATGTAAGGACAGTCAGGGCGGATGCAGCTTGAAAGCACCGGGATCATCCGAACCCAATGCTTTCAACGCGGTGTATAAATTTAAGTATAAAAATTCACTAAAATTGCAAGAAATAGTAGATATGAACTCACAACTTTAAAAATATAATGGGTTTGAACTCATAAAACTTAAATTCTGAATCTGCCTCTTGGGACGGTAAGGTTATATTAGGAGAAGCAATAACCACCCAACATAGGTTGGTGGTCTTAAATGTAAAGCGTAAGAATAGAGTGAGAAAGGAGACAGAATTCGGTGATGGACATTAAAGGGCACTAACTAGCTTAGCTTTTCAAGAAAAAACTATGGGAGGAGGGAGTACACGAAATGTTAGGTTGCATTAGAAAAGTAGCAAGCGAAGTGTTAAGTATGACTAAAGGTTTAGGATCTCGACCGCAAGAATCTTGATTTTGGAATGAGAAGGTGCAAAGAGTTATTAGAACTAAAAGAGAGAGTTGTAGAAAATTAACAAAAACTCTGAAGCCTTTGAAGAGTACAAGAGAGCTATGAGGGAAGCTAAGAAAGCTATTAGTAAAGCTCGATAGGAAGCCCTAGATGGCTTGTAACAAAAGTTAGGGGCACGAGAAGGGGAGAAAGAAATGTTTAAACTGGTACGTCTGTGAGAGAAGTGGAGTAATTAAGGACTTAAACTCAATGAAGTATATTAAAGAAAATTTACAACAAGTGTTGACGAGAGATAATGAGATCAAGGAGAGATGAAGAGGTTATTTTGATCAATTGTTCAATTCGAACCACAAGAATAACATTTTGGATCTTCATACATTTATGCACACAAGAAACTTTGGCTATAGTCATAGAACTAGGCTGACAGCGGTAAAGGAGGATATGAGCCAGATAGTATCTCCATAGAGGTTTAGAAGTGTCTTGGAAAAGTTGGAGTAGGATGGTTTACCAAGTTATTGAGTGCTACTGAGAAGTGGTAGGATGCCTAATAAGTGAAGAAAGAGTACCTTGAATCCATTTTATAAAAAAAAGAGGTATTCAAAGTTATGCGAACTATTGTGACATTAAACTTATGAGTCATATGATTAAACTTTGAGAAAGGGTGGCAGTGCATAGTCGTAGGGACAGTACAAGAGTGACAGAGAACCAGTTCAAATTTATGCTTGGTAGATCTAACGGGTGCTACATTCTTGCTAAGAAGTTTGATGGAAATATATCACGAGAGGGAGAAAGATCTATACATGGTGTTGATTGACCTAGAGAAACATATGATAGAGTACCAAGAAAGGTCCTTTGGTGGATGTTGGAGAAGGCAGTAATTCATGTTGAATATGTAAATTCCACAAGAACATGTATGAAAGAGCTCTCACTAGCGTGAGAACAGTAGCATCAATCTCTTTGTCCTATTTGACCTACTTTGATAAACTAAGTCAATTTGACCCCTTGTAAGAGTTAGATTGAAATCAGGTTAGTTCATCCTCTTCAAATATTGTTTAGGCATCAATCTCTTTGACCCATTTATATCAAAATTTATCATCTTGATACATCCATGATATTTGATGAAGATTCTTCAAGTATAATTGTCTATATCAACTCAGCTGATCTGAGATTCTAATAGTTTTCTTTTTGTCCATCCTGTTTTATACCTTTTCTTTTCCTAGTAAATAAAATTGCACTCTCACTATATTGTCGTAGTTCTCTTTAGATTTTCTTTATCTATCCATTGTGCTCCTTGTTTTCTCGTCTTCTGAGGTGCTTCTTTCTATTCCTAACTTTTAATACTCTTGTATTGGTGAAGTAAATGGGAAAGCGCGCGCATTAAGAAAGAATCGTGCCCTCTTCAGTTAATATGATTCTTCTGCTGTTCACGTTTCTTCAATTGGATTTTAGGGTCGATTGAGTTGCATTGCGACTAAAAGGTAATAAATCTAGCTTGTTTTGATAAAAGATCAATCCTAGGAAGAATGCTCCTGCGGGTGTCATGGCATAGGGGTAGAAATCCAAAACAATGTAGACTACTTGCTGGAACATCTGTCCATACTTGCTCTTGGCATCTCTTATACCACATCCTTGTCAATATCTCAGCTGGCTTTGGGTTTGGACATAAGGTGCACATACCTTTTCTCAAGTGATTGTGATTGAAGATCTGTAATTTGGTTTTGTGGTCGGATTAGACGAGCTCATTCCTCGTGAGAAGCTATATAATGAGAAGTAAGATGTTGCACAATACAGCTTCGCAGATTTCTAAGTGGATCAAACTACATAGGTATCATGTTAAGACAATAGAAGAGAGACGTGAAAGGCCAAATATGGATTTGGAACCGCCGGATAATAGGTGGTACTAGTTAAAATTAGGGGAAAATAATGAGTTGCAAACTGATTTCCAGAGCCCCAAAGGAACACCAGAAGCAATGAATTTTAGCTGTATGAATCATCGTCATTATGCGCGATGGTGCCCGTGTATAGCAATTTTCGTCAACTAAGCCTGCTTCCCCTATTGATGTATTGATATACGCAGAAAATAAATATCTACTAGTGCAGAGTGTTGAGTCCTCAAGAATGAGAGGAGATACAGTAAAAAAGATCTTGTCAACTCATAAGTGAGGTCATACATGCTGAATGGGATAATTGCGAGTGTGCATGTCAACGCCATTTCCAAGAGGTCTAATGGCCAAAATCAAAATAAGTCGTGTCAAAGTAGAAACTTCTGGATGACCTTCATAGCATCTTCACTAGGACTTCCATTTTTTGGTTGGCTGAGTTTTGGATTATATTGCAAACAGAGACATGCAGTGGACAAATCTTTGTTTCAGAATTGCATTTCGTCGTGTGTACTCTAAGAACGATTAATGGAATTTGTCAGACATTGAATGAAGTTGGTGACAATTTATTCCTTTGTTCTCTACTCTAGATGATAATTCAAATGCCACCAACTGCTCCTCCTCATGCTAACTTCTTTCTTTGATTATTGGTATCTATTATTTGCATATGTTTACTCCATCCAAAAGGAATGAGCTTAGCTTCTGGATATTCAGAAATTTGGTCAGTGATAAAATTCGAATGTTGTTTTCTGAATCATACAAAATCTGTATGTTTTATTTTAAAAATAGCAACAATGTCTAAAATCAGGCCATAGTCTATTGAATATGAGATGGAGGGAGAATATTTCTTGCTTTCATTTACCTTAAATGGAGCAAAATATTCACTTTTCTCTTCTCTTAGAGTCTTAGTTATATGCTTTAATGTGTTGAGAATCTTAGCGTGGCTGCAACAATGGCTAGAGATGGGTCATCATAAACTATGTAGTACCCAAATTTTGCCATTATTATCATAATTTCCCTTATATATGTTTTTTGTTTAAGTTTGATTCTATAGCTTTTTGGGCATAAAAGCCGCAAAAGGAAATATATACTGAAGAGTAGCTGGAAGTCCAAAGAAACATTGCAATTTCATGCGTCCTTTGCTTCAGTATAAATATGTAGATGACTGTTTCTAAGTAACTTTCTTGACGTCATTCTTCCCAACCTTTCTGATTCATTACTTGATCATTCTTTTATTCATGCTTTACCAGATAAATCCGCTGTTCAATCAGATAATGAATGGTTCTTCTTCTCTCCTCGTGGAAGGAAATACCCGAATGGCTCGCAGAGTAAAAGGGCAACTGAGTCTGGTTACTGGAAGGCCACAGGAAAAGAACGTAATGTGAAGTCTGGTTCTAATATGATTGGCACAAAGAGAACCCTGGTGTTCCACACGGGTAGGGCACCGAAAGGACAGAGAACACAATGGATAATGCATGAATATTGCATGACCGGGAACTCTTATTATCAGGTATAAAAACTCTATAAGGTAACTATTAAACCATCGTCTTTTTATTAGAACTGCTGAATTTTGAGTTACAACTGCAAGCTAATAAGTCAGTCACTTAAGAAATTGAAAGTCACTTAAGATATATTTTCTGTAAAATATGAAAAAGAAACTTGAGGCTGCTAGTTTTAATTATTAACCGGTCCTATTAGTTTAATCTGGAAACTGGTTTGCTTATTATTTAGAATGTGGTTGACGAAAGATTAAATTTTACTACTTGATTGTTGAGCTTTATTTCAAGCTGTTTAAGTGGTATCATAGTAGCAAGGCACCATTCGTAATTTAGGGATTACCAATGTTAAATCATTAATGGTGAAATATGGTAATTGAGATGTCTATCTGGTAAACTCTTTTTTATTGATGTTTCAATAATTCTTCCACTTACTGCAAACGTGGAAGTTGCTGCCATGTGACCAGGAGGTCACGGGTTCGAGCCGTGGAAACAGCCTCTTGCAAAAAATACAGGGTAAGGCTACGTACGATAGACCCTTGTGGTCCGGCCCTTCCCCGGACCCCGCGCATAGCGGGAGCTTAGTGCACCGGGCTGCCCTTTTTTTTACTGCAAACATGGAGATCTTGTATTCTACAGATTGTGTTACAATGTTATGCTCGATGAAACAATTCCTTTGCTGCAGTGCCCAGCTTGCTTAAAATGTCATCTTCTACATGAAGGTAGTTATTTTAATGTTCTGATTCCATGTTTTATACAGGATTCAGTGGTTGTTTGCCGCCTACGGAAGAACAATGAATTTCATTTGAATGACACCCAAGGAAATCGAAGGAATCATCTGGCTGTTGACTGCTCCACTGCTTTGTCTGGGGCAGCACAGTTGGACAGTTGGGACTTGATAAATGGAGGGGAGTGCTGTTCAAAAGAGGGTAGTAGCAGTTTTAGTTCTCATTCGGTTGAGAAGGTTGAATCTGGATCAGAATCCGATAAGCTGACTAAAGTGTTGCCTCAGCATAATTCCTCTAGTCACTGGAAGGTTTTGGTTCTGCCTCCCTTCTATGTAGCTTGCCTTTGTACTAGTGTCGGCCTATACATTTGTTGCTTTACATATTTTGAGATAATTTCTTCAGTAAGGGGGATCTTGAACTAAGAAATAGACTCTAGAAGCTAAAAAAGGCTTTAGAAGATCTTATGTTGGTATATTCCTTTTATTATTATTTAAGAATAGTATTATATTATTTAATAATACTCCTTTCCTTGTTTGGTGTACCTACTTGAGCCGGATGAAAGGAAACTTTCATGTCCGATTTTGAAGGGGTTTCAACCTGGCATAAGCTAAGGTACCCCGCTCATTAGTCACTTCCCCTGCATGGTCAACTCTTGCCGGGTTAATGTATTTGCATTAATCATATATTCATTCTTACGCGTAGAGATACCAATTTATAGAGGTTTGTTCCTGCATCAATAGTAGCTTGAAGTAAGAGAAATGACAAGATCATCAAAAAAGGAATTCACTCAAGCTTGACTATACGATTGGAAGGAAAGATTTTAGACATGAGCATACGCCTTCTTCCTCTATGGATAGGGCGACGTGACACACAATGGATCGGTTAGGAAGGAGAACAAATTGATCACATGTTCCCTTCTCAACAACCTTTCCCACATCAGTAGATAGAGTAGCTTTCCTATCCTTGGTCAATCTAAGGATTTTCTTCTTTTTTGCCCCCTTCTTTAACTATATGTTTATATATGCATCATATTGTGAAGCTGATTCTGTTAAAGTAAAACTCAATAGAATAGCCCTTCAAGATGTCATAATGCATTGCTAGCCGGGCCTCACCCAAAAATTGGTTTACCTGAAAATGATTCTATCACATATGCAGTCTCGGAGGGATGGCCATTTCCATTCTTTTTTTTATCCATCTTTAGATGTAGGATGAGGGGACTGAGCCATGGGCGGAGCCAGGTGGGTGGAAGGGGGTCCGAACCCCGTTCGCCAGAAAATTACACTATATATACTAGGTCAAAATTATTCTATGTATAGTGTAGATGTTTAATCCTTTGACTTTTTCATATGTTTACGTCTTTATATTTTGAACCCCCTCACTAAGATTCCTGGCTCCGCCACTGGAGCAGTCTTACCATTCGAGTCATCGCTAAGCCGTTCTTTCTGTTTATCTGTGTTCTCTTCCAAACCTGATGACTCGTTATGCTTGAGTGCCAACCGTGTCAAAACTTGGGGTCCTAATATCTTGGTGTTTTGAATTCCAGGATTGCGACGAAGAGGACTGTTTTGCTGATATAATGAAAGATGATATCGTTAAGCTAGATGATTCTTCATATAAGGCAAGACAGAATCTGTTGCCAATAGTCACTAGAAAGCTTGAATCATCTACAAAGTCAACACCCCAGGAATTCCAAGATCTAATGTCTCATAGGCTGCCTTTCCAGGGCACTGCAAATCGAAGACTAAGACTACAAACAGAAATAGTGCCTCGTCGAGTAGAAGCATATGAAGCTAATAAGAAGAATAGCCGTGCTGCGGACACCACTAGACGTTTGATGATTAACATAATTCCAGTAAGAAGAATAAAGCAATGGTCGATACCTCTGCTTCTGGTTTCCTTGGTCTTAGCGGTCATATTTCTTTGTATGTTTGGAGTTCCACAGCAAGTAAAATGGCTTGGGCATCTTCTTGTTATTACTCCACCTGAAGTGAATACCAGACCTGCATAGATTTCTTTGTAGTATTTGGAGTGGCAGTTCAGAGAAAATTGGTTCAACTTTCTGGTGCACGAAATGGTAGCAGCTCAAAGAAGATTGGCTCAACTTTTGATGCATGAAAGGGAGGCAGCTTATGTCCTATGATCTGGATTTTTCCAACAAAACAAGAATGTAGAGGATGACACATTGTAAATTTGTATAGTAGTTGTATGGTAGTAACAGAACTTCAGGGTGGTGTCTAACTTAACATAGTTGTATAAGTCCTTGTAAAGATGTGTAGTTGTTTAATACTGCGCAGACAACAGTTTTTCATATTTTTCTGCATTAACAATTACCAATTTTGGGTTGATATGTAAGCCCTTGAAAGAATTCCTAATTTAGACTTGCCAAATGGAAGTTCAAGTTACATTACCATATTGTTGTAGTTATGCTTGTTTTGTGTGTCTGCCTTTGCCCTTGGGGGTGTAACTAATTTGGCATAGTAGTCGTATGTTGGAAAATCTGTTAAGAACTGGATCGGGATTTATCACTGATTATTGGCTTTTCATAGTGTTGTGTTTTAGTCTTTACTCCCCAATTTTGAAAGGATGGTAAAGGGATGGAGAAGGTTTGTAGAATTGTATAAGTACAGTTATTATGAGTTTCAGCAATGTCGGAATATCACGAGGAACCAAGAACTTATATGTAGCTTTTATATCATACCAATTAAGAATATTATCACATTAATAAGTAGTTTATATTTATTTTATCAACTTTTAATGTAGAATTTTGTTCGCACATCATAGACGTACGAAATATTCACACTTAAAATATAAAATAAGCAGGACTCTTGCATCTATGACAAGGGAGATTGTGTTGGGAAATAACAAGCACATGCAATGTGTATGACGAGGTAGCAGCGGAATAATACCCAAGTCAAACTTTCTCAATCTACTTGAACCAAGAGAAGACAATAAATTGGCACAAATGGTAATACGGGCAGCAACTATACCACAAGTAAATGAAGAATAACAAAGCAAACGTAATCAAGATACGACACACCAAATTTACGTGGAAAACCCTTTCAATGTGAAGAGGTAAAAAATTACGGGACCAAAGGCCCTCGAAGCTCCACTATATCAATCAACAATAGTTACAAAAGTTCTCTAAATTGGCCACAAAGCAAGTGTCAAACCAAGAACAACAATAAACATAAATTGCACTAAAACAATTGAAAAAAGGAGAGAAATCACCCCAAAATTGAGTTATTGTTCACGCCTCCAAAATCAAAGTTACAAGTCTCCAAATCCAATCTTCACCGTTGAACTCCAAGAACCTGATGTTGAGAGCTCCCAGTTAAAATTTGAGCACGATCCAACGGTTAACGAGTCGGAAAACGCTAATTGAAGCTAACTGCCTGAGAAATTTTCTCAAGTAAAAAAACACATTTTTTTCTCTCACAAGGCTTCAAAAACGGCGGCACCCTTATGTTTTCTCTCTTGTTACGTAAAATAGGTTATATTTATATGTTTTGATATTAGTAGGCTATAGGACAAAGTGGGCTAGGTCCAAAAGGTATTTTATTTATCCACGTAGGAAGGGAAAAAGCCCCAAAACCCAATAATTCTCCCCCTCCCGACTATGTGGAGGAGACAACCATCCCGGCGATCATGAAACACTCTTCAAAACTTTCAGCTTCTCCCCTAAAAGTCAAGAGTACATACTCAGTAGGAGTATAACGAGATGAAAGTACTTTCTCTCTAGTAGATCTTCTGAAAGAACTCTCTGGAGCATCGATAGTAGTTGGTAGCAGGTTAACCACATCGTCTTGCACCGGAGCATCAACAACATCATGTTGGTTATTTTGAACATGATCACCATCTTCATTATCAACTTGATTATCATTAGTTTGGATATTGAGAAATCTACGCGGTATGCCTACTAGAAACACCAGTTAACTCCATATACTTTTAAAATATTTATTTTACCTTGTATATCTACTTTATATAAGTTTATTTCATTTTAAAAATTTTAATATTATTATATGCCATTAAACAAATTTCACCTTTCAAGAAACTAGATTATTTCTCACTGATTCTCTCACGTATCTTCTATCTTCAGTCAAATAAAATCTTGGTATGCCGAACGCCCTTAGCTTAAAGCAAACATTCAGAATTTTAAAAACCAAAACATCATTAATCGTAGTCACATTCTTTAGGGTTTTTCATTAAAGGAAAAAAAAATATACAATTACTACACGACATCAACTTGAGTTCGTCGGTTATTTTTCCTTCTTGACTAGGTAAGACGATTGGACCATGAGTCCAGTAGTCTCTCATTGAAAGTATCGTTGATCAACCAATAGATGGAGTACTTTAGAACTGAGATTTAATTGCAGTAATGCAAATTTATTATGGACAAGATAATACTTCTTCACCATTTGTTTGTCCAATGTTTCTTCTCTTCCATCATGTAATCAAAAGAAAAACTAAAATAAAGTGAAAATATTCTAATTTGGAATACAATATCCAAATTAATATACAATATTAGAATATAGTATTCAGACCAACATATTACAATATTCTAATAAAAATACAATATTCAAATCAAATATATCACAATATTCTAATTTGGAATATAGTATTCAAACAAAACATACCACACAATTCTAATTTGAAATACAATATTCAAACAAAACAGGACTAATTGCAATATTCTAATGAAGAATATAATATTCAAACCAACGTACCATGATATTCTAATGAAGAATATAATATTCAAACTAAATATATCATAATATTCTAATTTGAAATATATTATTCAAACGAAAGATTCCATAATATTCAAATTTGGAATATCGTATTCAAACTAAACATACTTTCATTTTATTGGAATATTATTATATATATTTTATTTTGATTGGAATACTAGCATACTTTAATAGTATACAATGGCTAGTTATTGTATAAATTTGTATTGTATAGAAGAAAATAAGGACTAAGGTTCCATAATAAAAAAAATTATTTAATGAATAATCTTCTCTTATGTTCTTTAATTTTGGTCCAAGTTTAAAACGAATGGAGTACGATTAATTGTCGCTATCCCATACTCCTCCATGTTGAATCATGATTGGTATATTTTCCATTGCAACTGATGAAGTTTTATTGAATTGCATAAAATTTGAATACTGGAAAAAACAATATGGTGGAGAAGAGGAATATGTCTTGATTAGGAGAGATGTGAATCTTAATAATATTCTCTACATACATGTACAATAATCATGGCTACGTTTAAGGGATATTATCCCCTAAAATATTGATAGTTAGGATTATGTATATTAGTAAATGGGATATACGCTGTAATTATGTAAGGATTTCCTATGTAATTTTTATATTTAGGCATAAGAGTTTTTATAGATGGGTATACGATATTTTTTTCCCTTGGATATTTTCTTCAGATGGAACAGTCACAGGAACTGGATCAACATCAACTAAGCTCTCATTGCTTTGAGAATCAACCTTCTCAACCTTTTCAAAATCTTCAGTTGTCTGATCTTCAAAGAATACAACATCACGGCTTCTAACAAGTTTCTTTTCAACTGGATCGTAGAAACGATAGCCAAATTCATCTTAACCATAACCAATGAAGATACACTGCGTAGTTTTAACATCTAGCTTTGACCTCTCATCCTTATGAACATGCACAAAGGCCCTACACCCGAAGACTCTCAAATGATCATAAGAATCATTCTGACCAAACCAAACTCTGTCAGGGTCATCACCGTCCAAAGCAACAGTAGGAGACAAATTGATAACATAAGCAGCAATATTAAGTGCTTCTCCCAAAAGGAGTTTGGTAGCTTAGTATCTGAAAGCAAACATCTAACCCTCTCAACTAAAGTTCTATTCATCCTCTCTGTTAAACCATTCAACTGAGGAGTCTTTGGAGGAGTTTTCTGATGCTGAATACACTGCAATATGCAATAATTATCAAAAGGACCAATATACTCACCACCATTGTCTAATCAGATGCATTTTAATTTTTCCCCCATCTGCCTCTCAACTAAAGCCTGAAAATTCTTGAACACATCAAGTACTTAATACTTGGACTTCAAAGGAAATACCCAGAGTTTGCGAGAATGATCATCAATAAAGGTCACAAAGTAAAGTGCACTACCATGAGACCTTACTTCAAAAGGACCACATAAATCGGAATGCACCAATTCCAGCAAATCAAGCTTTCTCGAAGGCGGATGACTCTGAAAAGAAATTCTTTTCTGTTTTCCAGCTAAGCAATGAACACAACTCTGTAATTTTGCTTGATTTACTCCAGAAAGTAAATTCTTCTTAGCCAAACTATCAATCCCCTTCTCACTCATATGACTCAACCTTCTATTCCATAACTATGATGAATCATTCTCCACCAAATTAATTGAGTCAATAGAAATTGAACCATGTATTTTGTACAAGTTAGATACCTTGATACCCCAAATCACATCCATTGAGCCTCTAATAAGCTTCAACTGGCCACCACCAAGGATGTTATAATAGCCATCATCATCAAGTTTTCCTGCAGAGATTAGATTCATGCGGACTTCTGGAGCATGCTTGACATTGTTAAGAACTAACCTAGAGCTATTGTTAGTTTTCAAACAAACAGTACCAATGCCAAATACATCAACCTCACCATCATTACCCATTTTTAACTTTCTAAAGTTACCTGGAGTATAAGAAGAAAAGTACTCCTTCTTTGGCGTGACATAAGAAGTGGCACCTGAATCCACAAACCAGCTAGCCTCATCATGAAATAATTAATGGTATCTTCATTGTGGGCAAAAAGAAGATCATCATAAACAACTGTAGCAATACGATTTTCATTGTCGTCGTCTTTCTTTTGTTGTCTTATTTCTCTCTTAAACTTAAAACAGAACTTCTTCATGTGCCCCTTCTTGTTACAATAATCATATGTAACATTCCTGTACCTAGACGTTGACTTGCTTCTACTTCTGCCTCTATCATTCTGACCTCTGAAGTTACTTCTCCCCCTACCTTCAGTAACCAAAATATCGGAGTGTGAAGCTGAAGAAGATGAAGCTTGAGATCTTCTCCTCATCTCTTCATTTAAGAAACCACTCTTAGCATATTCCATAGTTACAACACCACTGGGAGCGAAATTAGTCAAAGAAACTCGAAGAGTTTTCCAAGAGTCAAGCAAAGTATTCAACAACCAGAGTCCCTGTATTTCTTCATCGAATCTTATACTCATTCCATACAGCTGGTCTAGGACACCCATAAAATCATTTATATGATCAGAAATAGGATTGCCCTTTTTGTATTGAATATTCATCAATTGGTTAAGCAAGAATAACTTATTATTGCCAGTCTTTTAAGCATAAAGTGTCTCAAGCTTTTTCCACAAAGTTCTAGCATATGTCT